TGTTGGACGCCATTTTGCAGTTGACTCTGCTCACAAACACACTCCTGCTCTTTTCCCCACTTGGTGCAAAAGTAATTCTGCAATGGAGGTTTTAATTATTGGCACGGCATGCCAACATTAGCTGCCTTTGTAATTTATGTGGCTTTAGTGCAGTAATCCCCAAATCATGTTTTTCCTTTCTAAGAATCAAAGCGCCCATGATGTCCTTTCAGCCTTTGTGAGGTTTTTTGGGGGAGTGGGGGTGGAGTCTGGCCTGCACGTGACTATCCAGAATAGTAGTAGTAGTAGTACTAATTAATGTCACAATCAGATACAGAGGCTGGACCTTTCTGAAGAAAAGTCCTTCTTATCCACTCAAAATCAGAGGCATACGTAACTCCCAAACCTGACAAGGTTTGCTTTTAACAATTCAGAGTGTGTCTCCCTTACTGAGAAAATGCTGTTCTAGCACTGAAAATGCTGGAGAACACCTTGTCCAAAAGCAGCTGCATAATTCTGGTGGCTTCTCTGAGGTGTAATTTGCTTGCAGAATATTAATTGGCGATCTTGCGCAAGCCCTCAGATTTGTATAGAGAATTGCATTGCGCATTGCAACATGTTCTCTTTGTGTGGAGGACGCAAATGTTTGAACTCGGTTCGGCTGCTTCTCTGATGTTCTACCGTAAGAATGAGAGAAACATCTCTTGTTCCTCTGAATGGTGAGAGCAGTTTATCCACAGGTGGGAACACCCACGAATCATCAAGTGTTCCAGAGTCCTAGGACACCAGTGAGCAGCCGCCATATTGAAGAACAATAATTTAGTTGAGTCATCCAGGACAGAGAAAATCAGGGCGACAGCATTTCTTTGTCCCATGCACGTCCTGCTGTTTCCTAACCCTAGAGAAATAAACTACCTTTTCTATAAGAATTGAGGTTTTTATCCTGTAGTTTTTCATCCCCAACCAAGACAGCAATCCTGAACACTGTTAGATGGAAATAAGGCCCACTGACCAAAGGTGGATTAACGTGTGTACCGTGGTACCTCGGGTTAAGTACTTAATTCGTTCTGGAGGTCTGTTCTTAACCTGAAACTGTTCTTAACCTGAAGCACCACTTTAGCTAATGGGGCCTCCTGCTGCTGCCGCGCCACCGGAGCACGATTTCTGTTCTCACCCTGAAGCAAAGTTCTTAACCTGAAGCACTATTTCTGGGTTAGCGGAGTCTGTAACCTGAAGCATCTGTAACTTGAAGTGTATGTAGCCCGAGGTACCACTGTACGTACATGTAATTGCATTTGCACATATCCATTCCCTCTTTCGCCGCCTCCTCCCACCCTTGCCTCCCTCTGTCTCCTGTATCTGGTGTGAGGAACGCAGGGTGTAGCCAGTGAGGGCAAAGAAGGAGTCTACCCTGAAAAAGTAGGGAACTTGGGGGAATGTCCTTTCTGTGGCTACATGCAGCTGAGTTCTCCCGAAACGTTCCCCATACTTGGAAATCCACCCTCTCCGGTGTTCGCCTGGCCTCCTTCCTGTTGCCTTTGCATGCTAGTTTTCAGCGTGGAGGCAGTTATTTGGCTGGAGGAAAACGGCAGTCTTGTGATTCTCGCACTTTCACAGAGATTTATTGTTCCCTGTGCTGTTGTGAGAACCAAACCCGAGGGATCGGTCCTACACACAAGAAGCTGGTGTAAAGCGAGCGCTGATGTCTGAGCTGGCCCAAGCCTGGCAGAGGGGAAATGAACCTTGGAAATAATGTTTGAGTTACACCATCCTTTTTGCCAGCTTAACTTGCGCAGGGTTACCAGGTCACATATTCAAGACTTAGGATCCAGCCTATTCCTCTCCATTCCCAATCCCATCCACAAAACACCCCATTTTTCGGGCTTATGTTCACTTCAGACCCTCCCTGTTCAGCTCAGCCAGCTGGGTGCTGGCTGTGGCAGGATGGGTGTAATAAACTGGTATATCTCCCGCTGAGTTGAGGATGAGGGAGTTATGCCAGCGTAGCCCACCTGTGTCAGAAACCTCCTGCACAGCCAGAGATCTGCTGGATCCTAACCCGCTCACTTTGGCAGATCTTGCTGTGTTTCTCAAACTTCGAGTCTCCAGCGGTGGTTGGACTACAACTCCCATCCCTGACCACTGGTCCTGCTAGCCTAGGGATGATGGGAATTGTAGTCCAACAGCAGCTGCAGACTCGAAGTTTGAGAAACACTGTAGGTTGCTGTCAGATCACACCCTAAGATGATAATTGCATCGTAGAAAAAGCCTTTCACAATCTCTGTTCACTTTTGTATAATGTACAACAGAAGCTATAGAAATGATCCTGATCTTCGAATGACTAAGGTTTGGCCACATAAATAAAACTTCCCTGGAACAGATTCCTTCACACTTAGGAGGAAAAATCTTTTCCCCTGGCCTAACTTTCTATGAATACTCTTCTCATAATTTCAACAAAAATAGTTACAAATTTTATAGGTGTGCTTAAAAATACCCCACTTAGGGTACTAAATTAAATGGCCATATATTTAGCTATCTGCGACAACATGTTCCAAAGGGACTGTGTAAAGCCATGCAATTAAATCTATATTGGGCACTTACATAAATCTGTGGTCAAAATTTTGGAGGTGTTAAGTATCATACGTGCCAGTTGAAGTCACTGGGAATTGCAGGTACTTGTCACCTCAGAATAGCCAGCTACTTGCGTTGCTAACAGTAGGCCATCAATCAGAAACATTTTGGAGCGGATTCTTCCTGTTAAAAGTATACTTTGGCTGGATGAATCCCACTTTCTAATCTATTGCTGCAGGAAACGTTTTGGGCGTCAAATCAGGCCCAGAACTAGTTTGCTTGAGAATCTGGCTTTTCACATACTGAGACAAGTCGCTAGATTGCAGGAGGGAAGAAAAAGCTTTGAAAAGTCCTACAGACAAAGGCCTTCCTTTGACTAATGAGTACATAGTTTTTGTGCCCTTTTCCTTGGTTCCTAGTTAAACAAATTCTGGTCTCCTTGTTCCACTTCATCGCATCCTTTCTTTCTACACAATACCAAGAGAGAAGTACACCTGCCAGAAAAGTGGATGTAAACGCAAAGCACACAATTCAGCTAGAATTTGCTGTGACTGAACCGGTGGAACAAGTTTTTAAACGTTGCAGCTAACTTAAGTCCCATTGCTTTCAATGGGGCTTATGAAACTAACTAGTTTCACTGGTTTCAATTGGATTTAGTCATAACATATTTTAGCTGGATTGTGGACTTTGCGTTTACGTCTACTTTTCTGGAAGGCGTACTTCTCTTTTGGTAATACTTGTCTTTTAATGTCTTTCGTTCTTTCTCTCCTCCCTCCGTCCTCCTCTTCTGTCTTCCTTGAAATGTTCAGTAAACAAACTTTCTTCTGGGTTGATGCCTGCAATTCTAGTGTACATTTTGGCCTAAACTGTATGATGGACATCTCTGGTGTCTGTATACATAACTGGAATAAAGTACACCTGTCCCCTGATGTTGAGGTCGTAAGACTGTCATCTAGATATTTCTAAGAAGTGTTTTAGCACACTTTTTTACAGTCTTGCTTGCCTTTGAAGCAGCCCTGCGAAAGAGTTAGCTTCAAGGCGTCTGGACCCCAGGTTCTCAGGTGTCATGTTGCTTTCACAGAGTCCGTAGTGAAGATGAGATTTGAAGCCTGTTGTCACTCATGGCTCTCTCATTTACACAGGAGACAATGAAATGAATAAAAATTGGTGGCTGTAGAGGCACTCCATGTGTACATTTGTGTATGTCTTGATAGAGATGGTGAGAGCCCATAAAGGAGGACTGTTGCCATGATACCTTGCACAGCAGCCTCGTCGTAGGCATTTCATTGGCTGCTTGGCATAGACATAAACATCTGGAAAAACTTTCTTACAGTAAGAGCTGTTTGACAGTGGAATGGTCTGCCTCCGGAGGTTGTGGACTCCTTCCTTGATAGGTTTTTAAGCAGAGGTTTAATAATAATGATGATGATGAATTAGTTTTATTATTTATACCCCGCCCATCTGGCTGGGTTTCTCCAGCCACTCTGGGCGGCTTCTAACAGAATATTAAAATGCAATAACCTCTTAAACATTAAAAGCTTCCCTAAACAGGTCAGCCTTCAGATGCCTTCTAAAAGTCTGGTAGTTGTTTTTCTCTTTGACATCTGATGGGAGGGCGTTCCACATGGCGGGCGCCACTACCGAGAAGGCCCTCTGCCTGGTTCCCTGTAAGTTGCCTTCTCGCAGCGAGGGAACCGCCAGAAGGCCCTCGGCACTGGACCTCAGTGACAGGGCAGAATGATGGGGGCGGAGACGCTCCTTCAGGTCTACTGGACCGAGGACGTTTCCTGCACAAGATGATCCTTGGGGTCCCTTCCAACTCCATGGTTCTATGATTCTATGACCTTTGGTTTGATCCAGCGGGGTGGTTCTTGTGTTGCCCTCCGCCTGACTAAATGTACTCATAATTGCACAGGGCTAGTTGTGAAAAGCCACTTGAGGACTTCAAGAAATTTATGGGTGGGTTGGTAGTGTGGAAGCTGAGGCTTCCTTCCCGTGCTACTTGAAGAATGCCAGAAGTCCCTGAACATGGAGGAGGAGTCCTTTCTGCCTCCCTTTCTCACACTTTGGGGTGTCCCAGTTTCAAGCTTGGAGGCTTCTGATATGACTCGAGCAATGTGAGAAGTGGGAGCACTGCAGCAGCTCCCATGCTGGAAAAGGAGCCTTGAGCATCAATCCACACACGGTGCAAAACAGAGTAGTGGACCGTCCCACATTTCACCGCAAGTGGGAGGGCCAGATTATTGGCTGCTCTGCCACGTAGATATATCCCAGCACCTGGAAACCCAACACATAAGGAAGCAGGTTGCCATAGCTCTCTCGCTGATGTGCTAGCTCGCTCTATGCAGGGAGCATTTTATGACCTTGTCAGTTGGATTGGAATTTGGCTAGTGGTATTGGACTGAGTGGTGACTAATTTTTTTGTGTGCTTTTCTTTTTATTGTTTCCAGGAGAGAAGCCATACAAATGCACATGGGAAGGATGTGACTGGAGATTTGCGCGCTCCGACGAGTTGACCCGCCACTACAGAAAGCACACTGGGGCCAAACCTTTCCAGTGTGCCGTGTGCAGTCGCAGCTTTTCTCGGTCTGACCACTTGGCTCTGCACATGAAGAGACATCAGAACTAGGCTGGACTTTTCCATGATGCTCTTGGTATCTATGCAACTTCCTAGTGACTCGGTTAAAGTATATATACACGTTCAGTTAGAATTAGCTTAAGTGTTTTGACTGCATATGAACTGCTCTCCATTTTTAAAAGAGGAAAAATTGTGAAAGAAACTGGAAGTGTATATTTTGTATATTTATGAGGAAACAGGGAAGACACTGTGTCACAATACTGATGGTTTCACCATGTTACGGCCACGTGACCTACTCTTCACGCATTTGACTTCAGCCCCTCACAGATGTCATCTCAGGGCTCCCTACCATGGTATATATTTTGCAGATAGGATTAATCGGTTTCATATATGCATAGGCAAAATCATTTTGCCAGAACAGGTTGTACAAGCGTGTGGTTTCTGTGCAGTCATGGGAGCCATTTCCCAGATTTTGGCTAAACACATGTGTCGGGAAGCCAGGGTTTTGCTGTTCCCTGTTTTACCACATGGCGACTAATGTTCATACATCACAGTAAGCCGTGAACAAGCAATGTGGCCATGTCTGCTTCCCAGCTACTGCTGCTTCACTACTCCGCTTGCGTGAGCAGAAGAAACAAACCGCAAACCATGGCTTAGCGTGTTTTCCAAACCCAGAACCGTGGTTTGTTCCTGCAAACCATGGTCCCAGCTTCAGGTGGCACAGTAAGCAAGGTTTGTGTTGTTCCCACATGCGCCAGTTGAGGAGTGGTCAACAAACACACACGGCGACTCTGCTCATTCATGATAAGCTGTGATTTATGGCTTACTGTGAAGTACAAAGACAGCTAATGCAGTCTGGCAAGCTCTTCTTGTCTGTGGATGTAAACAAGTGTCTATGGATGTATCTGCACCACAGGTATTTAATGCCCATAACCTTTTTCCTGGGGACCCTTGGGGGACTGTTTTGTGATGGGGAATCTGTGACAGATCAGACTATTCCTTGCAGGAAAGCAATGACAGTTAATTGGTATGGAGCTGATTAAAGTATGTTGCATAGCAATGCCCCAGCTCACATCTGCAAAATATAACATGACGAGGTGTCCCTAAATGTAAGTATTATGTCTCAAAAGCTCTGGAATCTATGTTTTTGGGGCCTTGACCAAGACACTCTTGCTCTGGTAAGCAGTGTTTAGGAAAACTAATTTAATTTACAGCTAAGTGAATCTAAGAGGACAAGCCACCATTTATTTTCTGTCAGAATTTTACTGGATGTTTTATTACTTGTTATATTTTATAAAAAAGTTTTTTTCTGTGGAGATGAAATATATATATATATATATACAAATTCATAAACAGCCATAGAACAAAATGTTCTGTAAGTTGCATGTTTGCTATGACAAAGATTTTGTAAATATGCAGATCAGCTTATAATGTTTTCTTACAAAAGGATTTTCTAGAAATCAGCTGGGAAAAGTAGCAACCATCTTACTTCGGACAGTTTTAATATGGCACATTTAAAAATTGAACCATCTTTTTTAAATACCTCTCAAAAAAGTTAGCCGCCTTGGTTTCACATAATGAGCTAGCCATCCAATCGCTTTTGTTATTGTTCACACAGATGTGATGCACTGAGAATTCAAAACAGATCACGCTTCCTCCCCTAAAATGTTTTACAAGTACAAAATATTTGCAAAATATGAACTGTTAAGCAACTGCCAGGAGCTTAAATAACAAGGGTGGATCTGATACATAATGTTAAACCTCTTACTATAAGCTAAACTTAATATTGCTTTAAAAAGAAGGATTTAGAATGTGGGTTTAGAATATCAAAACACTAAGCTGGTTCAACACCAGTACAATCTAATTCTGTGTGGATTTTTTTTTTGCCCCCGATTCAACTGTATTGAGTGTGCATGTAGCCCTTTCAAACAAGCTGCATTGAGAATGGAAAGGGGTCTGTGGGAATCTGATGTTGGCGTGGTTTGTAGCCTGTTTGATCTATATGTCCAGGCCCAGCTCAGGTTCTGGTATCAAATGCACACCACCTGTTTGTGTGTGGCATTCCCGGTGCAGCTAGTGATAATGTGTACTGAAACTTTCTGTGTATTTGTCTATGTAATATGGATCTGGGGGACGGCAGCGGCTGGGACACGACTTGTCGCTTTCGCAAAGGCAAAGGATACTGCAGTTTCTCCTCCCCCAAAGTTGGCTAGTTAAAATGTAAACGATGCTGTAATCCCACCCCGAAAAACAAGCACCCCTTTCTTATTAAAGCATAAACACATTTTGCAAAATTGGAGTTCTAACATTGAGAGGGAATGTTCTCTGCTGCTGGAATCTAGCTCAATATACCATAGCTGAGGACAGGATGAGAGTGGAGGTGGCAGCGTTCCTGCTCGTACTCAAACCTCATCCCATTTTAAATTGAGGGGAAGGAACTATCAGTCGGAGTGCTGTTGCCTAGAGCAAAAAATCCGTGTTTTGTGGCCCTTTGAGCGACGGGCCCCCACTGCTGAAATTCCCTTTTCTGCCTAGCATCTCACCACACCAATGCTCCACCATCTTACCACCTAGATCAGAATGACAAGGAAGGCAAGACGAGTTGAACCACAAAAGAGGGTGAATTTTGAATGTTGGAACCGAACAGGAAAAAGAAAGTCTGGTGTGTTAACTTTCAGCAGTGTTCTGTCTTCAAGAGTAATGGTTCTGTCCATTCTCATGGGTTTCAGAAAATGATCTGTGACTAGTTCCACTTAAAAAATAATGATCAAGTGGTGCCCTTTCAAACTTAATTTTAATTCAACATAAAATTTCACTGGTTAATCTGTTTCAGAGGCAGTAATGGAAATAGTACTAGCAAGCAGCACAAGACAGATACACAAGAGTAAACTGTGCACAAGCAGTTTGCCCATGGAACAATTCTGTGCATGTTGGCTTGCAAATAAGTCCCACTCTGTTTATTTACTTCTTACACCTTAGCTTTGAAGACTGCTGCCTCAGGCATTATAATGGGTTGAATCCTGACAAAAGCTGAGCACTTCCAGGTCTAATTGGCTTCAGTGGGACAAAGTAATGTGTGCTCTTAACAGTGCTTATGTATAGTTACTTGGAAGTAGGTTCTATTACATTCTGTGGGGCTTACTCCCAAGTGAATGTAGTTGCAGCTGAAGTCTCTTCCTGGAATCTGAGACCTAAAATCTTTACTAGATTGTAGCTGAGATTGCTATTCAGGTCCTCGTTTACATAGACAAATCCTGTATGAATTCTTGCTGTGCCACCTCTTGCTCAGGAGAAAGGGCAGGATATAAACCAGGCACAGGCAAACTCAGCCCTCCAGATGTTTTGGGACTACAACTCCCACCATCCCTAGCTAACAGGACCCAGTGGTCAGGGATGATGGGAATGGTAGTCTCAAAACATCTGGAGGGCCGAGTCTGGCTATGTCTGATATAAACTGAGTAAATCATAATATACACCAGAACTTACTGTTATTAATATGGCCACTCTAGTCTCTTTAGGAAGGGCAAATCTCTCTCATGGGCTTTCCATCTTCCCTAACCCCACCTGTCAACAGGTTGGCCTATTCAGTGCATAGTCCTGTTTGACCAACCTATATTCCTGGTGGACATCTTAGGCAACACTTTTGAAAGAAGCAGTACTTGGGAGTGCTTTCTTAAAACAGGAGAATGTGTTAAATTATTTCCCTTGGAGACGCGCTGTTGGAACATTTCTTTTTCTTGTTCAGTTCCATCAGTTCTCCACTTGACACCAGATTGAGGTTCACTGCTAAGTTGTGCAGATGTAGCACGGCCAGCTTGGGTGTTGGAGAGTATGCTTGGCAGAATCTGAGCCACTTGTGTTTTGGCAGGAACGTTGAAGACCTTCGTGAAGACTGGGTTAAGGTCTTAAAAGAGTAAAAATAAGTGTAAAAGGGGAGAGATGTGGACCTCAGCAATCAGGGAACCTTTGCCACATTGACTTCTCTGCTGAAGAAGCCCTGCCTCTTCCGTTGCAGAGCCTGGGGCATGGTTTAGGGATCATAGCCAATTTACATGGAGTGTTGTCCTGGCCTCTTGGTTGCTCAAGTGAATTCTGAATGCCCTGAAGCACAGCCAATACTCCTTGTGTTTCCCAAGGGAAGATTAGTAATGATCAGATGAGCTGCCTTCTAAGAAAGCTTGTTGACCACGACAAATCTTCACCCTGATTGAGTCCCTGATACACTTCCAGGTTTCCCCAGAAAACCACAAATTATTCCGAGCCTTATCCTTCATTGCCAACCAGGTCCTTAATGCTGGACTCCGAGCAACAGAGGAGGAGATTAAGTTGTAGGATAGGGTCAGATTGCACCATAAGTAATTCAGTTACATGGGGAGGTGATTTGCGAGGCAAGCTTTCCTTTGCAGCAGAGTTCTGAGCCTTTCCCCCTTCCTAACAGCTAATTAACAAGCTGCTTTAGAAACTCCGGTTTGTTTTTAATAAGTTTTTAGCCTATTTCCTTGTTCTTTCCCATTGTGCATGTCTTGGAGCCCAAGATCCGAGGGTAGAGGGTTCTGAAGTTGTGCACAGCGCTGCCTTTGGCACGAGGTGAGACACCCCACCGTGGGCTCAGAAGCCCTTGCCTGGGCTTTTGGGGCTTCTCTGCATCACAGCCACTGAGCTGCAATGCCATGCTGTCAACCAAAGGGTAGAAACTAAAGTTAACTAATCAACATGCCAAAAAAGGGGGGGAGGGGAGAAAGGCCTCGAAGCAGAACTTTGTTCAGACTATTGTTTGCGTCTTTTATTTATTTTTGTGGTATATGGTAGAGATTTTTTTTTTTTTAGAAAATTTTCCACAAACTTGATAAATTAAAGTTGTTTATAGCTTTTTTCTAAAAAAAAAAAGCATTGCTCTTAATTGTAAATAGATGATGGGAAAAGATGTACATATTTTTTTTGTAAGGCTTCAGATGTTTAATCCTGGAAAAGAAAAACACAAGCATATTGTTTTGCTGCTCTTCCCCTGCTACTCTGCCCCACTCCCTGTCCTTATTTTTGTATGGCGATATATCCTATGCAAATGATCAAGCAAACAGCTGTATCGTTACTGAAAGAGAATGAGATGCTTTATATATATATATATATATATGACCCCCTCTTTTTTTTGAAAATAAAAAGTGCCTAAAAGCATTTGTTTGTGTGTGTCAAGAACAGATCTCCTGATTTTTAGAAACCTGTCTTAATTTTAATTTTCAAATTGCTGGGGTACACATAAGAAATAATAGAAAATTATTGTGAGCCCACCTCTCTGCATGTTTTATTATTCCGGACTTGATTTTCTTTAGGCTTGTAGGTCCATCAACCTCAGTGATGCAGACACCAGATATTGGGGACCTTTGGCTCCCCAGGTGCTGCTGAATTACAATCCCATCAACTTCAGCAAACCTGATCAATGGCCAGGGAAGATGGGAGTTGTGTGTTCTCAGAAAGATGGCTACTTCCTGCATCTCTCTCTGAGTTTCTGCTCTAGGCCCGGTCAAGAGCCATCTCTGAAATTAGCAGCTTCCGAACACAGGGAGTTTAGCTTGGCTGGACTGCCCCCGAGGTAGAGTTCCACAATTCTGTTGAAATACGTCCAGAATTACATTCCCATGGATTTAATAGTTCAAGTAAATGGAATTTGACCAAGGACATCTCAACTTTAACCCAGGAATTTTCAGATCATGTGGGAGAAGGTATTTCCAGAAAGTATCCTGGCTCCATGTTTTATAGTGCTGCTAAGATATGCCTGCTCAGTTTGTTAATAATACTGGAGATTTGGGGTCTGGAGCACCACCTGCAGATTGGCAAACCGCCTCGACGATAAGCAACAGGTGCAAGAGTGAGGGATGTTAACTGAATGCAGTCATCCCCCTGACGTCTTAAACTCCGCCTCTCCATTTGCTCACTTGACTCTCCAAGCCTTTTGTTCCACAAACGCATACAGTACAATGACTGTGGGTCAGTCTTCCGTTTGTTCCGTATAGGAATGCTGTGCTAAAGGTGGATCAAATCGTACATTTCAGGCATGGATTCCACACAGCTTGAGTTTTCCTCAACCCGCAGAGGGTACACCATGTCCCGGGGGGGGGGGGTCCCATACACCGAGGCAGCGTGGAGTCACGGGATTCCGGCTCTTTCATATTTAACAGGCCTTCCAACAGTTGCTTTAATGCGATCCTCAGAGAGATGAAGGATTTTTCCATTTTCAGGAATGCTGTAAAGGGCTCTGGCTTGTTTTTAATACATTCTCTTGGAAAGCTCTAGTGGGACATTTCCAGATAGGTTTTATCATCTAAAGGGCGGGCGGCTCCCAAGTCTCGGCTGCTTTAACGCATCAGGAAAACAACCATCTGATTCTCCTAAATGTTAGGGGAAACGGAACAGTTATTAGAGCAACACAAACTTCATCTCTTGACCAGAGAGAGAGAGAGAGACTGGCCAAGATTCATACTTGATTTTTGGCTTTTGTCATGAATCCTGCACACATGGAAGCTATAAGAGGCTGCCTATGAATTCCCCAGGTTATGTTTCCAGCAGAAGGTATTGAGGGTCTGGAAACCAAGCCTTATGAGGAACGGTTGAGGGAGTTGGGTGTGTTTAGCCTGGAAAAGGAGACTGAGGAGATACGATTCAAATATCTAAAGGGCTGGCACATGGAAGATGGAGCAAGCTTGTTTTCTCCTGCTCCAGGGCGGCAAGACCCAAACCAGGGGTCGGCAAATTTTTTTAGCCGTGCGCCCATCCACTTTCCCTAAGAACTTGTGGCGGGCTGGAGAAGTGGCACCGGGGGTGTGTGTGTGGAGCTGGAAGACGAGGTGAGGGGGGCAAGTAGTCCTCCCCAGCCCCAGCCACTGTGCTTACCTTCCCTGGGGCGGCCGCTGCCACCACCACCGCTGCTGCTGGTACTTGTTGGTAGGCAGAGTGAGCTCGTCTGCTCTCTGGCCCACAGGAGCACCAGGGTGGCGGAGGGAAGATGAGCGACATGAAAGGACTGGCTCCAGAGAGGGGCTGCTTAAAATGGCGCTCAGCCCAGCCCAGCCCCCTTCCTCCTCTAGGCAGGGCGGGGACAAGCCAGGAGGAGGGAGGAAGGAGGCACCGCTACGGTGTGTGTGAGGGAGGGGGAGGAATGGAATGGCGCAGGGGGGGGGAACTGCGCAGTACAAACGAACAGAATCCCCATGCCGATCCACGGACAGTCCGTGGGCTGGATCCTGAAGGCAATTGGGCCTGATCTGGCCCGCGGCCCTCAGTTTGCCGACCCCTGACCCAAACCAATGGGTTCACGTTACAAGAAAGGAGATTCCAGCTAAACAGGAAGAACTTTCTGACGGTAATAGTTGTTTGACCGTGGAATGGGCTACCTCAGAAGGTGGTGGACTCTTCTTCCTTGGAGGTTTTTAAACAAGAGGTTGGCCGTATGTCATGGATGCTTTAGTCAAGATTTCTGCATTGGACTAGATGACCCTCAGGTCTGTGATTTTAGGTGTACACACACACAACATGGATGCAGGGGTGGAGTAATAAGTAACAATATTTTTATTATTTATATGCTGCCCACCTGACTGACTTGCCCCAAGTCACTGTGTGGCTCCGAACAGAATATTAAAAACGCAATAAAACATCAAACACGAAAAACTTCTCTATATATCCCTGTTACTGGAAACAAAAGCAGGAATGGGCAATTTTCACCAGTTTGTGGGAAATGACAATATTTAGGTGAGGTGAAATAAAGTACTTCTTCACACAATGCATAGCCTACTAACTTACGGAATCAGCTGCTCTAGGATGTTGCAATGGCCACTGGCATTAAGCAATGCTTAGACTCTATATGTATAATTATATGTATCAAATGCTACTAGCCATGGCTCAGAAGCAGCAAGGCTCCAGCGGCCGAGGGCCAAACAGCAGAGAAGGGTTGCTGCCTTAATATCTGCCTGTGGACTTTCCTGGTGGCAGCCTACTGACCACTTCTGGAAATGGCATATTAGGGTAGATAGACACTGGCCTTAAATTCCCAGTTGTTATGCAGGAGTAAAGGTAAAGGGACCCCTGACCATAAGGTCCAGTCGTGGCCGACTCTGGGGTTGCGGCGCTCATCTCGCTTTATTGGCCGAGGGAGCTGGCGTACAGCTTCCGGGTCATGTGGCCAGCATGACTAAGCCGCTTCTGGCGAACCAGAGCAGCGCACAGAAACGCTGTTTACCTTCCCGCCAGAGCGGTACCTATTTATCTACTTGCACTTTGACGTGCTTTCGAACTGCTAGGTTGGCAGGAGCAGGGACCGAGCAACGGGAGCTCACCCTGTCGCGGGGATTTGAACCGCTGACCTTCTGAACGGCAAGCCCAAGGCTCTGTGGTTTAACCCACAGGAGTAGGGTGACCCAATAAACAGTACCATGACTGCATGAGGATTCTGCAGGCTCCAGGATAATTAAGGAAACTTGCAAGGAGAAGCACTATTGCCTTCTCTCCACCCCAGAAAGTAGGGTCTGAGTGAAAGGTGCAGGTGTGTCGTCCTGGATTTTCCCAGTTGCAGCTCTTTCCCCATGACCCACACGAGTAAACAGAGTGAAAGTGTCCATTCACTTATAAAGAGCAGGGGAAAGGCAGTAGGAAGTGCTGCTTCTGACCCCAGACCCTGTTGGCCAAGGTTTTAGGGGTGGGCTCAAGTGTATTCTGTACCAGCAGCTTTCCCAGCTGCAGAGCCTGTTTGTATGAACCCGTGAAAGCAGAAACCACCACAGTTGCTCCCACCTCACAGAAACAGCAAGCTAAGGTGTCTGCGGGGCTGAAAAAAAAATAAAAATAAACCCTCTAGGACTACAAGGTAATTCAAATCAGCTCTGCATGTATGTTTGAAGGATTCCGTGATAGTAAAAGTACATGGGCTGCCGCTGCTTTTGTGGGTGGCCTCCGCTTTCTCCAACATTTGGTCAAAAGTTCTTACTCCTCACAGTGCAATCCTGAGCATTCTTTCCTTCAGTGCATAAAAGATTGTAGCTTAAGTGCGCCCAGAATAACAGATAAGGCAGCAAATCCTCTGCAGGATAAATAAATCCACTTCAGCCAAAGTTAAAACATGGGCATCCCCTTGAATTCAGGAGATCAGGAAGAAGAAGAAGAGAGTTTGGATTTGATATCCCGCTTTATCACTACCCAAAGGAGTCTCAAAGCGGCTAACATTCTCCTTTCCCTTCCTCCCCCACAACAAACACTCTGTGAGGTGAGTGGGGCTGAGAGACTTCAGAGAAGTGTGACTGGCCCAAGGTCACCCAGCAGCTGCATGTGGAGGAGCGGGGAAGCGAACCCGGTTCCCCAGATTACGAGTCCACCGCTCTTAACCACTACACCACACTGGCTCTCAATGGGGGAATCTCCCAAACCCTGAGCCAAACTCGCCTTCCCTGCACCCGATATCAAAGTCGTGGCTGCAAAGGAGCAAATAGTTGAACCAAACCTGTGCTTAGCTGTCTCCCCTTGAAGTCAGTGGATTGTAAAAGTGCTTCCCTTTGGCTGTATTTTGCTGCAGGCGCTGAGGCAAACTAGACATCATATGCATGTTTGCACTTAGGATGCATTTTTAAAAAATAGGCAAATAGCAGCTTCTGGAGGGAGGGAGGGAGTGTTAATTATTGGGGATTGTCAAAGTCTGAGAGGAGAACTTTAGCCCTTTTCTCCTCAAATTTTGTCCATCAAGGGAGGAGAAGGTTAAGCTCCTCCCACCCACCTGCTTCAACCCCTATAATTATCAACCCCCACCCTTGCATGCTATTTGCATTTTTAAAGAGTGTACATTACATGAAATGACACATTTAGTTCAGTCTCCTCAGAATATTAAATTGAACATAAGTAAAAGTCTTTCCCCATATGGTTATCATTTTCCACACTCTGGTGGGTATATCAATGCTTCGGCCCCCCCCCCAGCCTTTCTGTTATGAAGATGGAACTGAGATCCACTCGTCCTTGCAAAAAGTTCACACATGCTAAAATGCCCTGAGGAGGGGAGAAGATTTACTTCATCTTTGAAATATTAACAGCAGCAATCAAGTGAAATGTGAGCATTTTGAAGGGTACATACCATGCCTCCGGACGTTTCAGCTAATTTCTGCGATATAAAAGGGCTTTTCAGTAACCTCAAAGAAGCAAAT